CAAACAATAATAGAAACGACAACACCCAAGGTAATGTCAATCGCTCAGAGAGTCAAAGAAAGCAAAGTTGACAAAGAAATCATAAACGCCATACAGAATATTACGAACGAAACATGGACCGCACAAGAAAGTTGCCCATTCTATTCATTTCGGATGGAACTTTTATCAGTTGGCCCCATACTTTTACGAGGAAACAAAATTGTCAAAACTACAAATTTACGCACACAGGGCACATTTGGCACACGAGGGTCATCCCGGGAAGACTGTTATGAAGCTAAAATTGAGATCAAAGGTATGGTGGCCCAAAATAGATCGAAATGCGGAGAGACACGTCAATAGCTGTCGCGAATGCCTTTTAGTTTCACAACCGAATCATCCAGCCCCAATGGCCCGGAAAATACCCCCGTCCGGACCCTGGCAATACCTCGCTCTTGATTTCATGTCAGGGGAAAACTATCGAGAACATCTTCTAGTAATAATCGACTATTACTCCCGATATTTCAAAGCAGTCTTCATGAAATCTACGATGTCATCAGCCATAATCAAGGCACTACTGAAAATTTTCTCTCGCCTCGGGCTACCGAAACGAATGAAGGTCGACAATGCTCCGAATTTTAACAACGAAGAGTTTAAACAATTTTGCATTACGAATGAGATCAAACTTGAGAATTCTCCCCCATATTGTCCCCAAGCCAATAAGGAGGTGGAAAATATAAACAAATCTCTTAAGAAACGGTTGCAGATCAGTTATGCAAAGGAACATTCGGATTACAAAAAAGACATTTTGGAGTTTATTATCATGTATAACGGAACCCCCGACGGTTCTACAGAAAAATCTTCTTCGGAGTTACTATTGAATAGGAGGATTAGGGACAAGATACCTAGCATTGATGATATCAACATAGATCACACAGACGAGGGAGTGTACGACAAGGACTTGACAATAAAAGAAAAGGGGAAAAACTTAGAACATAAAAGAAGAGGCGCTACGGATTGTACGATCAAGGCTATACGCTATACTTCCTAATAAATTGAATATGATGTGCTTAGAAGGAACGGGAATGAGTTGAATCTTATCGGAAATGGAAGAGTTAATAAGCGAAATGTGACACACACAAAAAAGATCCCACTAACAACATTTACTGTTCCAGTCATGCCCAAAGAACCCATGGCCATTGGAACATTGTTGTCAACACAACCAGCCGTCCTGGAAGAAGCGTCGCAAACACCACTCGTACCAGACCTTGAACCGACAACCCAACCACCTCCGATCCATCCTTTAAAACTTGTTAAAGAGGGAGGGATGTGGAGACCTGCACGGACGGATTGACTTACCGGTTTCGCGTGTTACGCAACCGACTACATAGACACACGACACGAACACCAATGATTTAGTATTGATACGATAACGCATTAGTTAAGATGAATTTAATTGTTCTAGTTTATTTATATTAATAAAGTTAAAGTGTATAAGACAAGAGAGTTTAAATACAACCCTAGGCTACTACACTTTTAATCTATTAATATTTTTTTAACTATTGATATTTATTGATATTTTAAACTATTTTATTATTTGATTTTATAAAACTCACGCGAAAAATGCAAACACGTATTAAACAAACAACAACCCATATTTTTTCAATTAAAATATAGTCAATTATATGTAAAAAGTCTTACTTAAATCTCTTAAAATAAAAAAATTATTCGTAATAAAAAAAGTTTTGAATTATTTCTGCAAAACGGTGATTTGGGCGATCTAAAAACGCATTACAAAATTAAAAGGTATATTTTATATTAAAATATACTTAATTATACGTAATAAGTCTAACTTAGTCAGTAAAAAAATATTTATTTGTAATAAAAAAGTTAATGAATTATTTCCGCAAAACGGTGTTTTTTGACCATAGTGCGACGTCCACAAAACGAGAGTTAAAACATCGATAATCGATTACCGAAGTCGGTCCAATGTCAGCAAAAAATAATCAATTTCCGACGTCAATCCAACGTTGGACCGATGTCGACAAAACGAGCGTTAAAACGTCCGTAAACGATAATCGATGTTGTAACCGTCATTTTGACAGTTACCCATTGATTTTATTTTATTAGTTTTTGTTCATCTATAACGGTATAGATGTGAACTGTTAAGTGGTTTATTTTTAGTTTGACTAATTGTTAAGTATATTTTTAATAAGGATATTTGTTTAGTTGCCTATTTTCAAAAGAATTTAATTGTTTTTATTATTTTGTTTATTACCTTGTTTGATAGTATGCATCCCAGAACACTCCTCATTTGCTTTTAGTTCTCTCGACACCATTCACAACATCTTGGCAACATTGTATTTTTTTTGTTTAAATAATCTTCTACGCACTTAATAAGGTTTACGTTTTCCTTTTCCGTTTTAACACTGAAGCCGTTTAGTTGGGAGTAAGCCTTGGCTTAAAATTTGGATAGAATTCCAAAGATGTGTGGTAATTCTCCTGGTATAATGGCTCAGGGCCAGTTAAAGCATTAAGTTTGTCGTGTGGTACGATGAGCTCTGGGTGAGTTTTTGACCTGTTGCTGAATTTAAATGTCTTATCCACGAGGTTCCCAATTTTAGGTTAGTGTTATTCCCTCATTCTTGGATTTTATCCAGTCCTGACGTTGTATAGTTATAAAAACTCCTTTAAACAAGGGTAAGCTAATGTCAACGGATTTTGTAGGGTGCTAAAGCGGGTTCGTATTTCTTTTTAGGGTTTTTAATATGGAGTATAGTTTCTGTGGAGCTAATCAGTTTTTTTATATTGGAGTTTTTGTAAGACTTTTTATGTTATTGTTCTTACGTTATTGAAAAGCCATCCTATATAATCTGACATAGTAGGGGACTTCAACATCGGAAGCCATCCCATTCGGAGACACAATCTACCAGGGCCCCAACTGCGTTCAGGTCGTACCAATTTTAAATATTAATGTTAACGTGCACTACATTCCTTATAGTTTGTGTCCTTTTGAGTTGAGAATTCAACATAGTCTTCAACTTGTAAATTGTAATCATTTTAAATATATATATTTTTTTGTATCATCAATAATATTTTATCATTTAATTTAGTCTATTAGACTTTGGTTTTTGTAAACCATATATGGCCATATAAGGGTGCACCAAAATTATAGATCAAACAAATATTTAATATTACATGAAAAGTAATCACTGCAACATCGGTGTAACAAATATAACTGATTTATATTTTTTAAACTTGACTTTTAATAACCACCCTTAATCTTTAGTAAGATTGTGTGTGACTTACTTGGATTTTAACAACTGGCCATAATAAGACACTGGCGCCCAATTTTAATTTGCATTTATTTTAATTTAGTAAATATATTTGTATACACGTAAGTATTGAAAAACAACATTTGCCCATCGACCTATCTCTCCGCTGAAAAGCTGCCGTTCGCCATAGCCCTCGAGTTGAGGTTACAATGTTCGACCTCATTCCAACGTCGGCAAACGATAATTAATTTCCTTCACCAATCCAATGTCGGACCGACGAGGACAAACGATATCAATTTCCAACGTCAATCCAACTTTGTACCGACGTCGGCAAAACAAGCGGTAAACCGTCCGTAAACGATAATTGATTTTCGACCTCGGTCCAATGTCGGAAAACAATAGTCAATTTCCGGAGTCAATCCAACGTCGGACCGACGACGACAAATGATAATTGATTTCCAACGTCGGTCCAACGCCCGCGGCATAAGGAATATATCTCACCGCTACTTACACACGTTAGCTAACTATAAATAGCAATGGGTTGCTATACGTTTAGAGTGTGTTAAAATATCGTGCCATTAAGAGAATTTTCTCAGAACCTACATATACCGAAAAATAACCTGTGATACGTTCATAGAACATCCTAAGGATTGAACCTAACCAAAACGTCTGTAGTTTTTTTTGCCAGACAGCGGGCTATAGTCCGTCAGCCGCCTGATGTCCGTTCTCTCCTATTGAAGCCGGGCCAACGTCGTTTACCACCGGCGGGCCTACGTTAGCAACATCTTTTGTTGACCATCGGCTACCATGCATCCAACGGACAAAGGTTTGTCGGGTAATTATTTACCGCGCTTTGGTGAGCTAAAGATACAGGAAATTTCAGTAGATAATTATCACGGTAGCACGGAAATATTTATTAGATGAGAATTGTTGCCTTAAGGCTTCTAAAGGTTAAGTGACAATCCATCACTTGTTAACACCCTAGACGAAACAAAATCATTGCAACTTAGTTGATTCGTCAGATTTAGGTTTTTGTTACTATAATTAAGTATATTAATAATTAACCTCCCAAGCAGCATTATTGGTTCCAAAAACCATTGCCAAAGTGGTGATAACTTTAAATTAGTTAAGTATACTAAACAGCTACTTTAATTTTTACTTAACTTTTAAATAGCAATATTTATATACAAAGAACAATGAATTATTATAAAACGAATTATAAAGAATTATTATAATGATTGATAATGATTTCTTGCATGAAAATAAGAAAAACATCTTCCATTTACTAGTTCCTGAAGAATCCTTCTTCCGATTTTCTTAAAATTTCGTGTCAGCCTTTTATGTACTTTTAATTTTTTTATTCTAGTTACGTCCCGGAGGATCTCAGCTTACATATATTTGGAAAAAATATGACACGTTACTGCTTTAAATTTGTTTTTGTATTTGCTCTAGATAAAACAATTAGGAATAAAACTTTTTTGACTCTTTACGCATCTCGCTTCATCTGAATGAAAAACAAATTTCTTTTCACGGTTTTAAAGCAAGTAAAAAATACACACATGCTCAAAATGTTGGAATGGTTAAAAATATAAAATAAAAACAGAACCTTTTTATTACGAGATTGGTATGGTTTTTGCAAGGGTTTCCTAAAACCAGTGTTTTTTACTTTATGCAAAGAATCTCATCCTAAATTTGCTCTTAATATTAATGAATCAACCTATATAGTAATTATTATTATATTTATTTTAGCCCTCCAGTTGCATTACCGACAAAGATGAAGACGAAATATATGGTTTTGCCTATGGAGTATATTCAGCTCAAATTGCCAAACAACAACAGCAGAAACTATTAGGTTCAGTGGCTATCATTAACCAACAACCTACTGAAATACAGCAGCAACATAACTTTCAAACGTAGGTTTAGAAATTACAATTAAAAAACTTTTACTTTGTTATAACTTGTATGCTTTTATGTTAATTATTATATAATTATTATTTTAGATGCCTTTCCCCAAGATCTGCTTACTTTTATGAGTTTCCGCCTAATGGTAAGTTTAATTATGTTAAGACAATTTATGACATGACCAAAAAAACGTGTTGATCATATCGTATTTGAAGGGGTAAGAAGCAAAAGGGTACAAGTGCAAAAAAATAAGTGAAGTTATTAACTAAAGTTTTTGCTATATATAAAAATCTGGATACTTGTTTCAATGTTTGCAATAATCAACATGCAGATCACGTAAAATTTTCTCGTTATAAGAAAATTGGACTCTGAACTACCCAATTCTGCACTTAACTTATTTTCATGCTAAAATAGATAACTTTCATCAAAAAGGAACCAAGCGCCAAAATTATTTGCAAAATAACTCATTTTTAATGCTGCTCAAAAAAATTAATAATGATTTGGGAACCTCTCAATACCTTTTGAAAAAGTTCCAAATGATTATTTTTCAAATAATTTTACTAAATTCAGAAAAAATGTTTAGCGCTTGGTTCCTATTCGATAAGCATTATCCAAATGCACTTGTACCCTATGGCTTCTTAACCCATCATTTAAAAAAATAATTTTTATTAAAGTGTATTTTTTGGAATATGCTTGATAGCTTAATAGTTTGGCCAAGCAGAAAGAATATTAATAATTAAATATCCAAGATAGGTACTAATGTTATTATGTAAAACTTAACAGAATATGATATTTTATATAAATACAAACCAAGAACAACTTTCGTATAGAGTCATTCCAAATAAAAACACCAAATGGGGTGCGCTGCGTGATTTTTTATTTTGATGAAAAAATTTGAGGATGATCTTTTAGGTGTCAAATATGAAAATCCGTTGCCGTTTTAATTTTTTGTTGCTTTACTTTTATTTGGCACCCCTTAGAAGTCTGAAATAGTGTCAATTTCTTACTCTCTTATAGTGGGCCAGAACTTTTTTTCTGTGACAAATATTGAAATAATTTTAATTTTGTTATACTGTCCAGTAAGTGTGTTTTCGATATAAATTATTTTTATCCAATTAGTTAATCTCATAAAAGAATGGTAAACCACTAAAGATTCATGATAATTTGCCAATTTTTGTGATTTTTGTCTGGCTCCTGTGCCTATTCTACTGAATTTAGAAGGTTCATTTTTTTCAGGTATAAAGTACTTATACAATAGAAAACGTAACTATTATTTTACGTTTCTAGACTATCAATTTCTTTATTAAAAAAATTATTGAAAATTGATAATTCTCAAAATTAGCCAATTTTGCCCTCAGAAATCATTATGTTAAGGAAAAAATAAAAATCTGAAACTTTCAGGAAATGTAGTCCCCACCTTCATCTTTTCAGTCCAGTTAGTCTTGTTTTGTTATTTTTATTCCTTTAAAAGATATATTAATTTTTGTAATGGCCGTTTAGTAGCGATATTCTTAGTTTTATTTATAATTTAAAATTTAGTCTTGTTCTTTTTTTTTATCCCTTTAGTAAGGCATTAAATAGTTAAAAGTTAAATGTATGTATTTTAAATGTTAGTGTTGGAAAAAATTTACACAATCTGTAAATACTTCTTTAAATTTTAGTTTTTAGGTAACTGGTTAAAATAAAACATGTTATAATAAAGGGGTTTATTTAGAATATTTTTTGGTTTTTGCTTATTTTTAACAATTTAAAACTTCTCAGAACTTAAATATTTTCTATAAGAAAAGAGGTACAAAATTATGATATGTTCTTGCATTTTTAATTGCAATTAAATTCATGAATCTCGAACACTCCGTCATTTATTACACTTGCAAACTTGCAAACGTTTTGAAATCACAATTTAAATACACACAAATAAAATTTATGAAATATTTTTGACAGCTCTGACATTTCTCTACCAAACATGAATTGACAAAGTCAAAGCCATCTAAATTTTAAATTATAAATAAAACTAACAATATCGCTACTAAACGGGCATTAAAAAAATTAATATATCTTTTAAAGGAATAAAAATAACAAAATAAGACTAACTGGACTGAAAAGATGAAGGTGGGGACTACATTTCCTGAAAGTTTCAGATTTTTATTTTTTCCTCAACATAATGATTTTTGAGGGCAAAATTGGCTAATTTTGAGAATTATCAATTTTCAATAATTTTTTAATAAAGAAATTGATAGTCTAGAAACTTAAAATAATAGTTACGTTTTCTATTGTATAAGTACTTTATACCTGAAAAAAATGAACCTTCTAAATTCAGTAAAATAGGCACAGGAGCCAGACAAAAATCACAAAAATTGGCAAATTATCATGAATCTTTAGTGGTTTACCATTCTTTTATGAGATTAATTAATTGGATAATAATAATTTATATCGAAAACACACTTACTGAACAGTAAAACAAAATTAAAATTATTTCAATATTTGTCACAGAAAAAAGTTCTGGCCCACTATAAGAGAGTAAGAAATTGACACTATTTCAGACTTCTAAGGGGTGCCAAATAAAAGTAAAGCAACAAAAAATTAAAACGGCAACGGATTTTCATATTTGACACCTAAAAGATCATCCTCAAATTTTTTCATTACAATAAAAAATCATGCAGCGCACTTTTAAATTCATTTTTGGTGTTTTCATTTGGATTGACTCTATATAAACCAGTAAAAATTAGAACAAAAAAGTTAACCACATTTGGAAATTAACAGAAAATAAAAAAGACAATTTTTTTATTTGTATCTACGACAAAACAAACAAGAAAACAATTTACTTTTGGATTTTTGAGATAGAAATATTCATGATGATTTTACGTTTTACTCACCTTTACTCACCTTCTACTCGTTAAACCTTAAACATTTAATACCCATGTCAAGGAGGTTATAAAAATATAATATATATGACATCAAAATAAACTATGTAACCTCTGCGACTTCATGCTCTCCTGATACTTAAAACCCGGGACTTTTAACGCGTTTCTGTTACGATATCATTCTTTATGTAAGGATCTAAACGAAACTGTTAACATGCGTCAATAAAAATGATAACAAAACTCTGATTAACGATACTTATTAATACCAAAACGAGTAACAAAATCTTAGTAACGGTTTTAGCGGAAACAGAATTGCTATCAAAACTGTTCATAACGAAAATCGCAGTAGCAAAACTACTATAGGAACACAGGATATTGAAACGAAACTAGTAACAGTAAATGAGTAGCAAAATTGTAAAAAAACATTAAATTTACAAAAGTTCCCACAAAATGCTCAAAAACACAATGCACAGTGGACTGGAATAGCCGAAAAGTGGCAAAAAATACAATTTAGGTTTTTTTGCAATTGAGTAAATCTAAATTGATATTCCTATAGAAAAAACATTGAATTTTTTCGTAGTGTTTGTAAAATTTAAAAATATGCACTAATAAAAAAGTTTTAGAACCTTAAAGTTGACCAAGTTTAGAATTAATACAAATTATTATTTTTTCTTTAAAATTATTCAAGTTTGAATGGATGGATGTAACTTTAAAACCAATAAAAAAAATTTATATTTTTCGTGCGACTTCGAAAATTATTAAGGTTTTTATAAAATGCACACCCTTTTTCAACAAGATATAGCCAACCCATATTATTTGAATATGCTAAAGAGACACTAGAGAAAAAAAAATGTACCGTACACTACATAAAACTTTAAATCGCTTCATTAAAGCCTACAAATTGAAAAATTAAAAATGCTGAATATGAAGTAAAGCACACTTTATTTTCTACAATGGTGAATGGCAGTATTGACAGGAACACCTTCAGCAGCTTCTTGTTTTCTTAATCAAATCCAACAGAAAAATTAAGAACTCAGGAAAAATTTTGGGGTAAAAAGGGAATAAGAATAGATGTGCCAAACAAGGAGCAGGGACTACAAATGATGGTAATACAGCTCGTAGATTTTTTAAGGATCCAGAGACAACATCAAATATAACAAGTAGATCTAAATCTAATTAGGAGGTTCCGGGATATTTTGCAAGCTTTGGCATCTGGAAGAGATGTTGAAAATTTTAAGAAATACGCACAAGAAACAGCCGAGCTCTATGTGTCCCTATATAGTTGGTAGTATATGCCATCATCAGTGCATAGAATTTTAATTCATGGAGATATAACAAGCCACTTTTATTTGCCAATCGGCCAATTATCGAAGGCTCAGGAGGCTAGGAACAAGGACTATTATATATAAATATTCTAGAGAACATCATACTAGAAAAATATCAAGAACTACAACAAATGAAGACTTGCTTCATAGACTTCTAACAACCTCCGATCCATTTATATTAAAAAAAAAGAATAATTAAAAAAAAAGAACAAAACGGATTTAGATCTTACATACAGTGAGCACGTTAAAATCCCCCCTGTGAACTTTTTAACCAAAAAAAAAAAACGATGTCAGACAAAAACCAGGGTAAACTATATTTTGTTTACTACTTTTTGACGTCAAAATGAAATTGTTTTGCCTAACAAGTGCCAAGAGGGTAGTATCAACTTTCAAATTTCAAATGGAAAGGGGGTGCTTGTGATACCTCATTTGAAAGGTATTTTAATTCTCTATTTAAAATTTTTTTGTTATTAAAATCCGTTTAGCTTAGCTTAGTTATTAAGCTAAACATTCAATTTTCTTAGTTTCTTTAAGAAACTTTCTTGACCCATCACTGGTAATATTCATAAGAATATAAGAAAAAATTGAACCTACACCTCGCCAAAGTTTTTTGTTTTGAATGCGTTCCACCAATTTCAAATACCGACAGACAGCTGTTTCGACCTTTATTGGGTCTCATCAGTGTCGGGCAACTTGGTGTAGTGGAACACAATCAAAACAAATTACTCCCTCAGCTTATATGCTCGGTTGTTAAGTCAACAGAGGCGAGATGTAAGAACATCAGGTGATCCACACCGTCAAACGACGTGGCCTTTGCTGCAATCGGTACATACTATGCAACCGGGACTGCACACAGCAATTGTATCACAGATACTAATATGGCCTAAAGGAATCTAGAATTAACCCAAACAGGCTAAACATTAAGGTAAACATTCAATTTTCTTAGTTTCTTTAAGAAA